CAGGCAAATTAGAAAACTGTCAAAAGAAGACCATCAAATCACCATGCATTCTAGGAGTCCCGGTGGTGCAATGGGTTAAACCCTTGTGTTGGCAGGACTGACTCAGCAGTTCGAACCTGGGAAGAGCGGACTGAGTTCCCTCTGTTAGCTTCAGCTCCCCATGCGGGGACATGACATGACAGAAGCCTCCCACACAGGTGGTAAAACATCAAAACATCCGGGTGTCCCCGGGTAACGTCCTTTTAGACAGCCAATTCTCTCACATCAGAAGCTACTTGCAGTTTCTCATGTTGCTCCTGACACGAAAAAAAACCATACATTTTGCAGGAGGATGACCACCACTTCCTCTATACAAAGGATGGGAATACAGCAAATTGCTACAAAAAGCATGGATCACTCCAGCCATGCTCTCCCAATCCCCAGCAGGATTTTGGCAACTAATACTATGTGTTACAGACTATATTTTAGAGCAGAGCTTTTCAAACTGTGTGTTGGTTGCATTGCATAAATTAGGATAAAACAGATAAAAATAGAAGGAGCACAAGTGGCTAAATATCTTTTGACCAAAAACGGGCAACAGCAATGGCATTGTCTGTAGCCTCCAACAGTTCTTCCTCTGTACATGAAGCAGGGCATAGTGGACAAGCATACAGATGTGGAGTTGTCTGTTCTGCTCCACAGTCACACAAGGTGGGGGATTCTTTGAGGTAGTGTTTATAGATTAGTTTATGTAGAAAAAAAAATAAAACATTTTTTAAAAGCATTTGACAATACATTTTTAAAAATATAAATAAAAGATTTTCATGAGGTATCTTGAATCCCCATACATTTTGTTATTACAATTTTTATACAATGTCCATATCTCTTATATGGGATTCAATTAACCTCTGGTTTGCTAGTAAAAATGAATTACTGTGTTGCAAAATGATGCATGTCTAAAAAGTGTCATCAACATGAAATGTTTGGAGAGCTCTGTTTTAGAGTATGGACCTGTCAAAACCGCCAATGGGTATTTCTTGCCTAAGAATATCCTATAAAATTCATGGAGTCAGCAAAAGGTGACTTGATATACACACCATGGCCTTATTTACAAAGACATGATATCGGAGGATACTTTTTAAACTGTCTTTCTCTGTCCTGGTGCTCTTCAAAATTGAAAGCCCCATAATCTCCGACCACTGAGTCTTGGACTGATGGGTACTGCATTACTATTTTGAAGACAACACATTAGGAAAGAGCTCAAAGTACAAGCTCTACCTCCTCAATCAGTGACTTGAACTCCATTCATAATCCCCACCAGAGCAGACACACTGACTCATCTCTAGGTCCACTAGGGCAAACAACAGGATATCAGCAGTAAGAAGTTTCTGCATGGGGAGAAGACTGAAGTTGAGAGGGAATCATAACTTCATTGTCTGACAGAAAGGAATGCAGTTTCTCAATTCCCTTTAGACATAAGTTCTGATATATGTCACAACAAGAACATGTGCATGTGAATTCACATACACACATGTTATACTATTTTGACTGTAGAGTGCTCAAGAGATTGTTCTGTGTTGAATTCAGTTTTAGCCAATGAAATCAATGCCCATGATACCTGTCCCACCGGTCCTATATGAATTCCACAGATCTTCAAATCTGTATTCAGATCATATTTATTCTGTAATATACCTGAAAATGAAGTCCAATCAAATTCTGGGTCTCAAGCTGTGAGCATGACACTAACTAAAGTAGTTAATCTAAATTAAGGTAAGCCTATTCTCTTCAAATTAATATCTAAATATATTTTATTTTCCATATTTCCACAACAAGAGAATAAAGCCAAAGTGATTGATACTTAAAAAGGTTAATAAAAGAAACAAATGTTCTCTAACTAGAAAGCACTCTAGCAGAGCTAAATGATAAAGCTATATTTGTCCAAGTCAGTACGCAAAGGGTTCTTGTAGCACCTTTGAGGCTGAGAGAAAGAAGATGACCGCATAACCTTTTGTAGACTCACAAAACCTTATCCTACCAACTTCATTATCTCAGCCTCAAAGGTGCTACAAAATCCCTTTGCATCCAGAAGCACTCTTGTCCACACTATTGGTCCAATAATGTATTACAAAAATAGGGACCCAATACATGCATTTTTGCAGTCCTCAACACTGAATTTACCACCATTCTGCCAAGGCACCAATTTCTGCACAAGCTTTGCTTTAAAGACCATCTCCCTTTCTAGAGGGGAGTACAACTCTTAAATACCACCAGCCCCAGTTGCTTCAGGTGGTTCAGTACTCTTCCCCTGAAATTTCAATCCTATCTAAACCTTTATGTATATTATCTAAATTCTAGCTATAATTCCATAGTTATATACAAATAGATAACTTCTCCAGGGCACTTCAGTCAATGCATCTGTTACATACATAAGTAATCATGACAGTTCCAATGCTCACACACAGCAGTTCCAATGCTGATAGCTTTGACTATAGTCACACTTGCTCCATTTACTCACTGCATTTGATTTAGTTCAAGTCTTTACTCAAGCACTGTCAACACACCTCGCAGATACAAAAGTTGTATGTAAACATGACCTCAGTTCTACACTTAAGAAGTGAATCTAGCTATTCACATGAGATTTGTTACTATACATGACAAGTCATTTCAGGTTGGGATTCTATTTGAGGGTAACTGGAAAATTAATTGAATAGAATCAGATGAACTCCATAAAACTTCTTGTCAAACTGAACTTTTTAATCTCTATGGTTCAACAGGATTGCTTCTTCTGCTACAACCAATTATCACTACTACCCTTTCCAGTTCTTGGAAGATTGATGGAGCCCTCTTGTTAAAAGATCAAGTTACTGTACCGACTTGAGAAAAAATTCTGCTAGGTTTCTCTGGAAATTACTTGGGAATTTAACATTTTTTCTCCTACTTATATGATATAATACTATCATGCAAATTCGCCCTCCTACCCAAACAGTTTAAAAAATCAAATGACAGTCTAGGCCTCTACAATTCTGACAACTACTTTCTCCAAGCACATGAAAGGACTTGAGAAATGGGAAGTCAAACACTGACATCAATCATTGGGGAAGAATTAAAGACAGTTAATGCAAGAAATCAATTAGCCAACTGAAAAGAAAAAAAGGAATAATCAGAGTTAGAAGGGATCAGAAGGGACATCCAGTCCAACACCATCTTGCCACACAGAAATCACCCATGTGTCCATTTATTGAATTTTCAAAATATAATTGCCTCCTGTATCCACAGATTGACAATCTTTTTTAAAAAAAATCAAGAGAAATATTTATTTAAGGGATACCCTTTGATGATACCATTGTGTATAATGGGACTTGAACATCCATGGAACCAAAACTCTGTAGAGGCCCTGGAACCTCATTCTACTGCAGGCATGGAGAAACTTCAGCCCTCCATGTGTTTTGGACTCCAACTCCCACAAACAGAGGCTGTTTGTGGGAGCTGGGGGTGCTTTAATGTGATTTTCCTGCTTTTTGGCAAGGGGCTGGACTGGATGGGCTACAAGGTCTCTTCCAACTCTATGATTCTACTAATTCCTAACAACTGGTAGCTTGTTAGAAATTGTGGGAGTTGGAGTTCAAAACACCTGGAGGGATGAAGTTTGCCCATCCTGTTTTAGAGGATATCAAAGGCCCACTGTATGTCACCGGGCACTTTCGGGAAAGAACTATTGTTATGATTCATTTACATGTTGCTTCTCTCTTAAAGGAGACTCAAAGTGGCAAGGATGCTCTTCCAACCAGACTTCCATTCATTCCAATGTGATCTTGGATAAATGCAAGATACTCCACATAGAAAGAAAAATGAAATGCAAAGGTACAGAATGGGGACGCCTGCCTCAATGGCAGTACGTGTGAACAATATCTTGGAGTCTTCGGGGACAACAAGTTAAACATGAGCCAGCAATGTGATGTGGCAGCTTAAAAAGCCAATGGGATTTTGGCCTGCACAAATAGGAATATAGTGTCTAGATCCAGGGAAGTCATGCTCCCCCTCTCTTCTATTCTGCCTTGGTCAGGTCAAACCTGGAGTCACACTGTGTCCAATTCTGGGCACCGCAACTGAAGGGAAATGTTGACAAACTAGAATGTGTCCAGAGGAGGGCGACTAAAATGATCAAGAGTCTGGAGAACAAGCCCTATGAGGAGTGGATAAAAGAGCTGGACATGTTTAGCCTGAAGAAGAGAAGGCTGACAGGATACATGATAAGGGCCATGTATAAATAAGTGAGGGGAAGACATAAGAAGGAGAGAGCAGGCTTGTTTTCTGGAGACTAGGATGCGGAGGAATGGCTTCAAACTACAGGAAAGGAGATTCCACCTGAACATGAGGAAGAACTTCCTGACTGTGAGAGCTGTTCAGCAGTGGAACTCTCTGCCTGGAGTGTGGTGGAGGCTCCTTCTTTGGAGGCTTTTAAACAGAGGCTGGATGGCCATCTGTCAGGGGGTGTTTTGAATGCAATATCCCTGCTTCTTGGCAGTATGGGGTTGGACTGGATGGCCCATGAGGTCTCTTCCAATTCTATGATTCTATGATTCTAGTTCCTTAGCAGGAAAACATAGACTTTACGATCTGTCGTACAAAGCTCAGTGTGTTTACTTTGGATGCGGCTTATTTGTATGGGGGGGGGGGGGGCGCGGCCCTTCCTCAGCGAAAGGGGCGAGGCGAAGAGGGCCCGGGCACGAAAGGATGGAGTGAAGGCCAGAGGAAAGAGAGGAGAGGAGGCTCCCAGTCCCAAACTGGTCACGGGAAACCATATCCGCCTTCCCCCACCGGAAGAGAGGGAGGGAGGGAAGGAAGGAAGAACAGGCATCTCCTGGGGCGGCCTCGGGCGGCGCCGTGTGCGGGGGCGGCGCTTTCCAGGCCCGGCTGGGATGTGGGCCGAACAAGGGGCCTACCTCCTCTCTCCCTCCCTCCCTCCCCCCCTGGGCCGATGGGGCCTACCTCAGGCCCGGCCCGCTCGCTCGCTCGCTCACCTCCGCTTGCTGCTCTGCTGCTACGCCCCGACCATTTCCCGGTGGCCGCCACTGAGGGGAAGACGACGACGAGGAGGAGGAAGAGGAGGACGAGGAAGAAGAAGGGCCGGCGGCGGTGGCGGGCCTCCAGGGCCGATCACCGCGAGTGGGAAGAAGGCGAGGCGGCGGAGAAGAAGGGGGAGGAAGAGGAGGAAGGCCACCCGCGCCTGCCCCGCCGCGCCATGCCTCGGACAGGACGCGACGACCCCGAGGGAGAGAAGCCAGCCCCGCGTCTTCGGCCTCCTCCTCCTTCCCTTCCCTTCCCCTCCCTCCCTGTCTCTGTCTCTCCCTCAGCCGAGTCGGATTACCCAGCAGCCCCCGCGCCCAACACAGCCCCGCCGCCCCGTCCGGCAGCTGAGGGGCGGGGCCAAGCTCCGTCCCACGTGACACCCCCTCCGCGGGGAAGCGGCCCCGGAAGCGTGAGCCAGCGGCGCCTCCCTCCCTCCCAGAAAGGAAGCGCGAGGCCCGGGCGCTGCGGTCACGTGGCCAGGGATGGCCGTCAGGCGCGGCTCCTCGCCCCCTGTCGGGGAAAGGCGGGATTGCAAGGCAGGCGCGTTCCTCCCCTCCCTTCCCCTTCTGACGTTCCTAGGAAGCACACTGCCCGCCTGGATCCCCGCATCCACGGGGCCCAGCATCCACGGCTTGGAATATATATTTCTACAAAAATAACTCCCTCCAAAGCAAACTTGGCTTCTTTTTCCTCCCCTTCTTCCTTCTTGTCTGCCTCTCGCCAAGGATCAAGTCAGAGAACAACAAAATAGAAATTGACATCTTATCATACATATACAAATGCTCTATTCCTTTTATTTATTATTATTTATTTATTTATTTACCTTACTTATATACCGCTGTTCTCAGCCCAAAGGCGACTCACAGCAGTTCATAACAAATACGAACAGCAAAAATTCAGTGCTACAGTATAGAAAGAGTTAACAACCTAACACATTACACAATTAATAAACAGTTACTACAATACCCATTCACTGTCGTCTCGTCATCAAAAACATGTTCCAGATTCGTCATCCATTGTTCCATTCCAGTGTTCATTAACCAATCATTGCACTAATTATTGGAACGCCTGCTCAAACAGCCAGGTCTTCACTTTTTTGCGGAATACCATTAGAGATGGTGCTAGTCTAATGTCCGTAGGAAGGGCATTCCACAGCCGAGGAGCCACCACCGAGAAGGCCCTATCTCTCGTCCCCGCATCATAACTCAAAATCCCCTGGACAAATTGCTGCCAAATTTGGCCACAAGACACCAACTAATCCAAAGAGTGACTATCGCTCAAAAAATTGATTTTGTCATTTGGGAGTTGTAGTTGCTGGAATTTATAGTTCACCTACAATCAAAGAGCATTCTGAACTCCATCAATGGCGGAATTGAACCAAATGTGGCGCACAGGACTCCCATGACCAACAGAAAACACTGGAAGGGTTTGGTGGGCATTGGCCTTGAGTTTTGGAGTTGTAGTTCTCCTACATCCAGAGAGCACTGTGAACTCAAACAATGAAGGATCTGGACCAAGCTTGGCACGAATACTTCATATGCCCAAATATGAACACAGATGGAGTTTGGGGGGAAATAGACTCACATTTGGGAGTTGTTGAGATTTATAGTTCAAAGAGCATTCTGAACCCCACAAATGATAGAATTGTCCCAAACTTCCTACACAGAATCCCCATAACCAACAGAAAATACTGTGTTTTCTGATGGTCTTTGGAGACCTATCTGACACCCCTCGCGACCCCTCCCCGTGGGTCCCAATCCCCAGGTTGAGAAATGCTGCCTTAAGGCCATTCAGTCCAACTCCCTTCACCAGTGCAAGAAAATGTAATCAAAGCCCTCCTGACAAAAAACCATCCAGTCATAGATATAGATAGTAGGCTTGGGCGGTTTCGTTCGTTAATTTCGTAATTCGTTATTAATTCGTATTTAAATTAGCAAGTTTTATAGTTGTTGTTTGTTTTATCACACCAACAGTCAACAACAGAGGGAGAGGGAAGCTTCAGAAGTTCCCCCTGTCCCATTTGGAGGTTTTTTTAGCATATTGCGCAATCGCGTCCGCCATTAACGAATCGATTCGTAATTATATGAAATTTCGTATATTTCGAAATTTTTAAAAGGAAAATTTCGGAATTATTTAAAAAAACGAAACGCAAGGGCCCCCTAAAAACAAAACGAGTTTAGAACCAAATTTTTCCGTGGTTACCCAAGCCTAATAGATAGATAGATATGATTCACACACACACACACCGTATATGACAGATATAGTATCATAGATTTGAAAGGGACCCCTAAAGATGGACAATTATCTGTTGCATGTTCCAGAGCAGGCAAACCAGACAATATCTACATCAACACTGATGAAGAAACAAGAAATATTGTTTACCCACAAGCATACAAAAATTACATATATTAGAAACCAACACTTTCTCATTACTTTATTTTCCAGATCACCAGACTGGGCCACAGCGAAACGTGGCAGGAGACAGCTAGTGTATTATAAGCACCTTCAATGAAACTGCGTAAGACATAAGCCAATTAAAACATCAGTTTAAATCCCTACCAGTTTAACATAAGTTTAAATTCCGAACGTTATTGAGCGTAACCCCTCAATAAAAGATAGCCTGTAATTAGGGAACTTATCTGTATAACGACCAAGTAGCAATAGTAAGAACAGGCCATGGAACAACGGACTGGTTCAAGATTAGGAAAGGAGTGTGGCAGGGTTGTGTACTCTCACCCGACCTATTCTGCTTGTATGCAGAACACATCATGCGATGTGCGGGGCTTAACAAATGCAAGGCTTGGGTTAAATTTGCTGGAAGAAACATTAACCACCTTAGATATGCAGATGATACCACTTTGATGGCCAAAGAAGAGGAGGAGCTGAGGAGCCTTCTAACCAAGGTGAAAGAAGAAAGTGGAAAACCTGGGTTGCGGTTAAACATTAAACATAAACCCAAGATGATAGCAACCAGAACTGACTGATACCTGGCAAATAGAGGGAGAAAACGTGGAGGCAGTGACAGATCTTGTATTTCTAGGTGCAAAGGTGACTGTAGACATGGACTGCAGCTAGAAAATCAGAAGATGTTTACTTCTTGGGAGGAGAGCAATGACCAATCTTAATAAAACAGTGATGAGTAGAGACCTCACACTGGCAACAAAGATCCGCATAGTTGAAGCAATGATATTCCCCATAGTAACCTATGGATGTGAGAGCTGAATCATAAGGAAAGCGGAGCGAAGGAAGATAGATACTTTTGAACTGTGGTGTTGGAGGAAAATCCTGACAGTGCCTTGGACCGCGAGAAGATCAAAGCAGTCCATACTCCAGGAAATAAAGCCCGACTGCTCATTGGAGGGAAGGATAATAGAGACAAAGATGAAGTACTTTGACCACATCATGAGAAGACAGGAAAGCTTGGAGAAGACAATGATGTGGGGAAAATGGAAGGAAAAAGGAAGAGGGGCTGAACAAGGGCAAGATGCATAGATTGTATCCTTGAAGTGACTGGCTTGAATTTGAAGGAGCTGGGGGTGGCCATGGCCAACAGGAAGCTCTGGCATGGGCTGGTCCATGAGGTCACAAAGAGTCGGAAGCAACTGAACAAATAAACAACAAAAAGTTTGCCAAGGACGCAATGCTGGGATGGTATAATAAAAGGAGTTGAGTCTTGGCCAGCTTGCACAAGGACTAAAAGCAACAAAAGCCCCTCACTGTTAAGTATGTGTACATTTTAATCAAAGTTTTATATATGTATTGATAACAAAATGTGTTGGAATTCATGCCACAGAAGACATTCCCTAGCTAACCACTAAATGACCTTCAATGACTCACTAACAATGGGATTCAAAAGCCTTTAGTCTTAGTTGGAGGAAGAGATATTTGCATATCTATGCCCTAGTCTGAAGAGTCATGGAAGCAATACATCTTATATTGAACATATTTCTCAGATCTTAAAATGTATTCTTTCTATATAATCTATATAATCTTTGACTCACTTGCTGTACCCCATGGACTGAGTCCCTCAGGTGTCCAGGATTCCTAATGTATTTTATTAATATATTGTGTTTTATGTTTCATAAAAGTCCTTTTTTTTGGAGGGATATTTGCCACCAAGCTTGAGATGACCTTTTACCTACTTCCCAATCTTGGAAAACTTCCTCCAGTTTCCTGAGACACATCTGCATAGCATGGAGCGAATCACCCAACAAATCTCATGACCATTGGAAGAGCTGGTTTCCCATAGCCTTTGCTTATGATATGTGTATTGTAATCCACTCTGAGTTCCTCCAGGGAGATAAAGCAGAATATAAATCAAGTGTATTATTATTATCTTTATTATTGGGGTTTGTGGTTTGCTCAGGCCTGAGAGCCCCCCAGCACAGGATTCTAAATGCCTCTCCTGGGAGCATAAACCCCAAAATCCTATAGGATGTTGCTCAGGCAGATAAAGGAGAATTATAGGGTTATAAAATATGCAACGCGAAAGGGCCCTGTGAGGTGCCCAAGGACACCCAGTTTATTTCAATGGCCAAACTGAGGTGGAAACCATAACAGAGGTCCTAGTCTAGCACCCAAATTGGACTGTACAAGGTAGCTTTTGGCATGTAACATACAAGTAATTGAGTCTATCTTCACTCAAGACAGGCATCAGGGTGGGCAATGAACTAGTGAAATCCCTATTCAGTCCCACATCCAAATGATCAGACATCACTACGTGTAAGATAGGGTATCCAACCAAGGACATGTTGCCCTTAAAAATCATGGCCACTCCGTCCCTCTGAGGCATATGTGACACAATACTGGGTGTCCTGATGGACAAAACAGAAAGAAAATAAAACCTTGGCAAGCCATCCAGATTTCAAGACAGGTCAGCATGAAGTTAATTGAATGAGAAAGCTATAATTTACATCTTACCACAGTTAACCAGTCATTTGCCAGCAGCATTTTCAGATCCAGAGGGACTAGCTGCAATTACAGAGGCGGAGGCGGGATCTACACTGCCACATCCACATTATCAGCTTTGAACTGGATTATATGACAGTGTGAACATACATAATTCATTTCAAAGCAGATAATGTGGGTTGTCTGCTTTGATAATCTGGATTATATAGCAGTGTAGATCCAGCCAGAGAGGAAGAGCAAAAGACGAAATGGTGTACAGAAGACACTCCACCTCTATCTGAAGCCACTTTGAAGCCATCACTTTGGAGGTAACTTCCAGCCTTTAATTAGAACTAACACCTATATTTAGAAGGAAGGAAGGACAGAAGGAAAAGAGGTCTGAGACCTCACTACCTCTGAGGATGCTCGCCATAGATGCAGGTGAAAAGCCAGGAGAAAATGCCTCTAGAGCATGGCCATATAGACCGAAAAAACCTACAACAACCCATTCATCAATCATATATCCCTAGAATTCACTGACAAGCTACTCAAACATTTTGCATGACACTGAGTAACAACCTGAAGAACCAATCCAAGCATGAAGCCCTTTAAGAGCAAAACATAGTATGTATTGTTTTGCATTCTTTCCAGATAGAATTTAGGGACAACTTTTCAGCCAGTTTCCTTGAAAAGGAACGTGGTGTTTTCCAAAGTAACTGCATCCAAACCCACAAACTATGGGAGGGGAGGATCCGCTAGCACTGGCCTATAGAGCAGAATTGGTTTCCTGAAAGAAAACACACCTGTTTCGAAATCTGCTGGCCAACTGCAGGATATTTTACATTTTCCTTGTGGACACGAGGCATAGCTTTCCCTTCTTCAAATCACCTTCTCAAATAATTCATTATAGTTCCAAAGCCCAGCAATGACAGCCATTGTACACTCTTAAGACCTTTATCCATAAATGATGTTCTAATAACAACACATAGTTTGGGTTTTTGTTTTTCGTTGCTTTTTGTTTTTTGCTTCTTTATGCAAGGTTGCAATTGACAATCCAGAATAGGAGTGTTCTCAGCTATAGAAAAAGTAGGTCCTCTCTCATTTGTCATTTGGAATAAGAAATTAATTGCTAAAGGTGGGGGTGTGCCACATAGAAAGCAACTGTTATTGGAAGACTTCTGTTTCAGATTTTGTGGAAGAAAAAAAATCTGTCGAAAAATCGAGCCAAGCATAGAATTGAAGAGTCAAGAAAATCCTTTCATATGGCAGAATTTTGTGTTTTATCAGACAATAAGATGACACACTGAAGTACAAAGGAGAGGAATCTTATTATAGTTCATAGCAGTGTTTCCTCTCCCTCCCTCCACTTCTGTGTACAAGACCTCATTCTTTGTTACTGGTGGCATAAAGCAGATCAGGGACACAGCTCCCCAAAACGTAACAGGACACTGCATTCTGTCAACATCTGTGCACACTATGTGCTAATCCCAGTTGCCCAAGGTTAGATGAGGACATTAATTGGCCTTGACAGTCAGAGACAAGTCCATCAGCTCATGACTTGCTTTCATTTCTTTACCTTTGATGTTATGGTTTGTTCTTTCTGCTCTCCTGTAATTAATTATTGAAACTAAGTTGGATTATTTGCATGATAGATTTCCCATTCTTAGACTGAAAAAAGCATTTGAAAAATATTAAAAAGATACATTTCAAATTTTAAACCATGCTGTAACGAATTACTGTATCAAGAGACAGGACATTCGCCTTGAAAGGAGTTTAGCACTCATTCTTCACAGACTTTTGACATCTTTTATCCTTCTGCCTGAAAATATGCAAGTCTTTTTCAGAAACAGTCATGAACTTGAGAAACTGTCTTCTGTCTTAAGGCCCTTCCACACAGCCATATAACCCAGAATATCATGGCAGAAAATCCCACAATTTCCACTTTGAACTGAATTATCTGAGTCCACATTGCCAAATATTCAGTCTTTTGAGGTCACCTGTTCTTACCACAACAGAGATTTTTGCATTGTAACTCAACTAGCTTTTCGGTTTGTGAAATCATTTGGGGCCCTGCTGAAGCAGACCAAAAATATATCTAAACTAGCACTCTCTTTCATACAGTGGTCAATTTTTTTATATACCCTATGTATAAGTTTAGAAATTTGAGTTTAAAAAAATTCAACCTAAAAAATCTGGGTTGACATATCTGGCCAATTTGTTTTTTATTTGTTCAGTCCTGCCAACTCTTCAAGGTCAAGCCAGTCACCTCAAGGATAGCACCCATCCATCTTGCCCTTGGTCGGCCCCTCTTCCTTTTTTCCTTCCATTTTCCACAGCATCATTGTCTTCTCTAAGCTTTCCTGTCTTCTCATTATTTGGCCAAAGTACTTCATCTTTGCCTCTAATATCCTTCCCTCTAGTGAGCAGTCAGGCTTTATTTCCTGGAGTCTGGACTGCTTTGATCTTCTTGCAGTCTAAGGCACTCTCAGAATTTTCCTCCAACACCAAAGTTCAAACGTGTCTATCTTCCTTCACTCAGCCTTCCTTATGGTTCAGCTCTTGCATCCATAGATTATTTATTTGCGACATTACTACCCCACCTTTTTCAACCCTGGAGGGGACTCAAGGCGGCTTAACAACATAGACAATTATTCAATGTCATTAAAAACAATGTAAAATTCAAATAAACATTTAATTGCTACAGTTATTACAAGGAACACCATTGCTTTAACTATGTGGATATTCGTTGTCTGTGTGATTCTCTACTCTTCACTATTGCTCGCCTCCCAAGAAGGAAATGTCTTCTGATTTCCTGGCTGCAGTTTGCCTCTGTGGTCCTCTTATTTTGTTTTAATAGGAACAATCCCCTTCATTGCGTAGAGAGACAAAAGGCAAGATCTTAGTCCATTTAGTTATTACATTAAAATCCATCATTTTGTCCACCAAACTTGCCTTTGACTTATACATGAAATTGACTTATACATGAGTACACACAGTAGGTGCCTCTGGGAAACATCAAGAGAGCACACTGGCAACTCATTTTCAATGGCATACAGCCTCTGTATCAAACAGTCAGAACATGCAGCCAAACAGAAACTGTAAGGGTCTCCATTATCTGTAATGTAATCCCTATACTACTCTTTGCTCCTCTTTATTCTTTATACAGAGTACTGTTCAGATTTGAGTCATTAGTTGCTAATGATTTCTGATATCTTAATAGTTTTAGAAACCGATAAGCAGGATCCATTCTGAAAACTAAGTTGTATTGGTACCCAGTTTGCAACCCACAAAAATAAATGTTAAAATCTATTTGCATTTAATAATTTATTAATCTTTCTTCTTAAATGATACATTCTTTAGCGTGATGCAAATAATTTTCTGGTAGTTTTAGACTTACAGTATCTGAATTCTGCAAAACATAGAAATGGTTACAGACTAAAATGCACACCTTACATAAACATTTAAATAGAACATTTGTATTTAAAAGTCATTCTACACACTACATTCTCATAAAAATATAAAAAATAGTTAATTAATACTTTAACTAGACTAGATATTTAAGTCCCCCTCCCCAACAGGTCCCCTTTTAAAAAGACTCCCATCAATTAGAAACTAAAAGGAGACCGTATCACAAATTTAGTGACTACTGCCAACTGCTAAAATTCATCACAATAGCAAGTTAGTTCACTTTTGTTAACTAGCAAGAAATGTACTGCAATATGATTTTTGCTAATATGTATCCTCCATTCCAGAGTTCATTCTATTATATATAACTTGTGCTATGCAAAAAAGAATAGTTGGACTATATAAGTGATTTTAAATTAGAATAAAATGGAAGTTACTATGTGAACAGAGTAATCAAATGCATCATATAGTTAACAATTATGTAAAAATAGCACAAGGGGAAATATTCAAAGATATTTTCTTTTTTTATCCACCTCCAATGAAAATAAATGTTTTTCTCATTGAAAATAGGACATTTATATATTATTACTAATTTTTTAAACTCCAAAATTTATATGTGGAAGGTAAAATGAAGACTTCAAACTCCTTCATTTCATAACACGATTTAGGGCACATTTAAATTTATGAAAAGGCACAAAGATGAAACTCTTCGGTTGCAACAGTTAACATGACTCTCTCCTTGCACTGTGCAAGTGCAGCTTAAGGTGTGGTCTTTAATCTCCCAAGGTGCCTTGGTGCAAGGATTAAAGCTCCTGGCCCTGCTCTAGGTATTCTGGTACATAGTGGGGAAGCCACTGACGTAGTTGTGTGCAAGGATTTCCAGGGCTAAAGAGATGGCAGAGACTAGAGAAACTCCTTGAATCAGCTCCTTTTGAGCCCAAACAGTGACTGCAGCTTGCAGACCCAAGACAACAGACCATCCTCTTTGGAGAGACCCATAAGTGGAGTAACTGCCACAGTACTGTTAGGATCTCTGCACAGCTTCTTTTTGCATAATCTAGCCCAAATCCGCAAGGGCAATGTATTCAGAGAAACCTGTTTCCACATGCTGAACCATTCTGCTGGGTCGGAGTGAATGTATTGCCCACAAATAGGATAGTGATTTCCAATAAATCAACAGTAACAGAAAATTGATATTGCCACTAATATTTAACCGGAAAGGGATACACGAGAAAACCAAATTTGTTTTCTACTTCAGGCAATATCATTCCACCTTTATCTGTTACTGAAGATTAAATATGGCTTTGGACACACTAGCCAAGTGAAATGAAACTTCATGCTCTTCTCTGTCCATTTTTCTTATAACATGATAGTGGAATAAACAGAAGGTTGCTAAATGACATATCACAGGGTGGGTCAAAGAAATCTGTTTAGTTTTATGGCATGTAAACATCAGGGTGACTGGACATTAGATCATATAAACATTTCATAGATTTAAAAAAAAACAAAAGGGAAAAAGGAGTGCTTCCTATTGAACAATAATCCACAAAAATACTCTTTCAATAAGTGTTACTTGCCATTTAACAGCTTATGTCCTATGAACTACCATGTAAAACACAGACAGTTTTTTACCTGTAAAAACTGACCAGTTAGATTTTGTTTGGCCATTATACATTGTAGGTGCTATTTGATCATTCATCAACCCCACAGTCCTAACATCGCACCAGGTTGTTTTTCTTCTTCTTTTTCTTTGGTGGCTCGTCATCCGTGCTGCTGTCTGTGCTGCTGCTGCTACTGCTACTGGAGGAACTAGAATCTGAGTCAAAGTCAGAAGAACTGGAAGAACTACTTGAAGATGGGGAGGAGGAGGAACTGGAAGTGCTTTCATCACTGTCACTGTCTTCAGAGGAAGAAGATGAGGAATCTTCACTCTCGGACGAAGACTCGCTGGCTGAAGTGGCGCTGCTGCTACTGCTAGAACTCGTCACACTTTTAGACCTAAACACACACACAAAAGTTTAACAGGATCAAAGGATGTTATTTAAACCCACCGGGCAAAGCAGAAGTGAGTAAAATCTATGAAAACATTTCATTATTTGAATATATTTCCCACCTTTATCCCATATACACTCAGGCATGCAGTGTAGGTGATTGTGCCATATTGTAAAAAACATTTACTTATTTGGCAGCACAATGTAACAACATACATTTTTGCAGAAACGAATAAAATAAAATGGGGGAAATTGCAATCTACTGTTGGCCCTCCAGATTTGTGGGTTTCACTTTTGCAGATTTCATTATTCGTGGATTTGTAGCTACTGTTTAACTAGCTTTGACTTCTCACTCCAATCGTTCTGCTGCTCCAGCTCTCTACCACTGTCTTCCCAAGAGCACCAATTCCTCTCTCCTTCCACACCTTTTCATCTAAGCCTCATCAAGATTTTAATTTCCTCCTCCTATACTTTCCCATCAAAGCAACACCTACACTTCAAACTCCTTCATTCTTGCTCCCCATCCCACCTTTCCACTAAAGCCTCATCCAGGTTTGAAACCCCTTTGTCTCTCCCTTCCCCACCTACAGAACCTATCTTGTTCAGAACTTGGGGACCGCCTGTACCATAGTTTTCAGATAAAGATCTGGAACTGATAAGAAGGGCATCTGAACTTATGCATTGCCACAGAATACATTAAGTTAATACTATTTAAAAGCTTAAGAGGAAAAACTACATTTCAAATCTAGACATAATCATGTTTAACTGGAAATAAGTCCTATTGAATTTTTTTTCAGTATAATTAGGGCCAATTCTTAAGCCAAACTGGTTTCCATCAATAGTCAAACTACATCATTTATCACAGAAACAGTGCAACAGATGGACAATTTGTTGTGCTTCCTCACATACCTTTTTTTCTTGGTCTTCCTCTCTGTAGTAGATTCTCCAGAGCTAACAGATGAATACAAGAACAATGACTGTAATTAATATGGTGAAACAATTGCATGTGTGTGTTGTTGTTGTTTTTTTTTAAAAATGCACAAGGTAGCCAACTTCTTAGTATGAAATAACATGTATAGGAGGTATACACAACAAATAATTAAGTTTTGGGTTTATCTTTTCCAACCTTGGAAATCACAATTTTTATGTACATCATTGTGGGAATTTATTAAAATGTTGCATAAAATGTTTGTATTAAATAAAAACTGAATGAAGTAATTTGTATTTACGTATACAGTTCTTTACTTTTTATGATTGTTCATTGTAGTTTATATACCATTGATATTGTAAACCATTCCAACCATTATATACATATTTTAATAAATAGAATATTCCAGTGTTTCTGCCTCACTCTTAAATAAGTTTCATCTGAGTGAATGGAAGAAACCCAGTAGCATTATGACCAATAGTATCAGCATGAGTTACATTCTGACCACAATGACACTGTTGAAGTATAAGTCATTACTAAAACAGCTACATTGAACGTTGACTTATTAATACCTGAAAGTATTACTCTTGTACTGTAAATATTTTCAATGACTGAATTAATTTTCTTTGCTCCCATCTTTAAAGCAGTTTATGTACATAGAATATGACTATAAATTTTCATTAACAAATTTATGCAACAACATCAAATCTGTAAATGTGATTGTGTTCGGGGTAGCTAAAACAGTTTCAACATAATTCCAGACTATCCAACCTCTGTTAAAAACCTTTAAGAAGAAGAATAGTCTGCCATCCTCCAAGGCAGCCTATTCCCCTATCAAATAGCTCCTACAGTCAAGAAGTTCTTCCTAATGTTTAAGTCAAATCTATTTTCTTGTAATTTGAATCCATTGGTTTGTAATCCAGGCTCTGGAATAGCAGAAAATAAACTTGTTCTATCATCTAAGTGACATACCTTTAGGTATTTCAATATTGGTACCATTTGACCTCTCAATCTTCTATGAGCTAATCATTCCTAGCTCCATAGGTTGGGTCACATGAGGCCTGCTTTCTAGGCCTTTGATCTTAGGTGCCCTCTTCTGAATAGATTTCAGATGGATTGCTATAATGTACTATATATGAGACAAAATATGGCTGATCTGTTGAAAGCACTGCAATGGCTATTAGTTACTGTGCTAACATGAAGATGATATGGTTGCCTTCTCTTCATACAGTGAAGACTGCCAAAATCAGTCTCATTTAGACTTTATCTTGGACTCTTTTTTATTTTTGCTTGCACCTACACAGCTAATTAGTTGTCCAATAAAAACAAAGGTTTCACTGCTTCTTATCCAAGGAAAACAGGGATCTTTATCTACAACCTTGCCTGAGGTACTAATTCATCGCTATCATCCCATTTGTCTCAGCCAGTGCAAGCTCATCCTCAGTCAAACCAATTAACATCTGCACTACTTCATAACACTTGCATAGACATTTTTTCTTATTTACCTTCCAATGAATATCTGGCATTTTTCTCAGATTGAAGCTGAAGGCAGATTTGTAATGATATGCCTTCATTAGATTCGTGAACAGATCTAATTGCATGAATGAGGGTTTTTTGTTTTTGTTTGTTTGTTTTTGCTGTATTTTATATAGATTATACTAGGTTAATCCTGTCCTTTATAAGTCTTAAGACTAGGCCAAAAAGTTGATAACTGAATAATCTGTCTGTTGTAATACACTATTATAAAGCAGAAAACTCCTAGGATTGCTGTTTGACAATAGCCTGTCCTACTCATCTTGCATGATTCCATTATTGGTCTGAGATCACAGATGCATATACACTACTTTATTTTTCGTATTTGCTGAAGTACACACCAGGCTTTTTATTATTAACAAAACTTTTCACAGAATTAATCCATTTGTTATTACTATAAGGTTTTCTAAACATGACTATTCTCAATTACTGTGCACCACAGCAAATGCTTTCACCTGAAATGGTTTAATAAATTCTACAAATAAATTAGATTATTTTTATCAATTTATTACATATGCTGCAACAAGTAAGTTTGTTATATGCCCTCTGATTAAAATACCAGCCCAGCTGTAAGCTCACCAGATGGCCACAGCTTGCTAATATTCTTTTACTTAATGAGACTATTTTAAGGAATACTGAAATGCTCCAGCATGTATAATTAAAATGGGTAAATACATAAAAACGAATGTGTCAAAGTCAAGATGACATATGAAAAAATATATTTGTAGTATATTTTGGATGTTTCTTGTTTACCACTTCCAATCTGATGAGGAATTTTAGGGAACTTAAAAGCTTGCATCTCTAATTAGTATTTTGGTGATATAATAGTCATCCACACGTTAGGGACATCAAAACTGATAGATTTGAACCAAACTACCTGAACAGCAACTACTGTTCAAAATATATAGGTTCATAACAAGTTGCTACAAAGGAATTGTGCAATAAAAATAGTTGTACTAATATTTTACACACTTAGATATTAATTGTTTCATCAACCAGTCAATACTTGGCATAGTGTAATAATGTTGTGCCAATACAAGCCTACAACCTGCCATTACCTCAGCTTTGCCATTTGGCAGGCTAGTTCAAATGTAGTTGCTTGAAAGTCATAGTCAGAAATTTTCATTTTGAACAGGAGTCTCAAAAACCAATTATATGATCAAAGCAACAATATCTACTACCTTAAGAACATACTAACACTCAAGAAAAACACAATATTTACATTTCAAACAGTCCTGTCAGCAGATCTGCAAACTTAAGATAAGAAGCCATGAGAAAAATGGGAGAGGTACATAGAAGGACAGAAAAAGAAAGGCGAAGCGGATAATAAAATGCATGTTTTCAAATGTTGCTTAAAACGTTGTGAGAAAAGAGAAGAGTAGAGAAATTAGAACAAAATGTTCTAAAGGAAATAATAGACTAAGTAGTTTGGCAAGAACGTTCAGCCAAGAGGAGAGGATCCAGAAGAAAAACAATGAGGAGAAACATAGCAGAAACTAGCCACGAGGCAATAAAGCTGAAAAGCAAAAAAGTAGTAAGCAGCGGCATCCAGTAAGGAAACAGAATCCCACAAAGGAGCAACAACAAGTGATATTGAATTTAAAAAATGAACGGGTAAAAATTCAGAAGAGAGTGAGAAACTGGAAGATCAACAAGCTAGAAACACAAAAGCTCCTGTGTCAGAAAAGAATAAGGATAAACCATAAAACGTAAAAGTTTCAAGAAAGGTATCAGCTGGAAATCTTGGAGATTGGGGAAGTCCTGGCTAAGTCCTGGTGACTGATTTAATAAGTGACAACCTTGTTTAAATCATGTAGCAAATGCTTTTTAAATCATGCCACAACAGTAGTTAACAAAAGTTCGCTTTCCATAGACTTTGCTGGTCACTGAACAAATACATGCTCCTAATAAACTGAAGCACTAGTATGACACTGACTTATCATTGATTCAAGACACCCACAGAATTAAATGGCACATGTTCCAAAATGTACAGGCATTACTAAAACTTTCTCTCTCTACCATAGCTAGAAAAATGGTCTATGAAATCTGTTCTTTTCACAAACCTCCGTATACATGCAAATTACGCCTTCTGAATTCATCACGGTCTACAACTACAGGTTAACACTAAACCAGGAGCTTATAAAACAAAGGATTACAACACACTGGTTCTAAATACTACGACCAGTTACTGTTGACCATTGTTAACATCTATACTATTTTATTGTATTTATTTAGATGGTTTTAAACAACTTTTTTAAATTGATGTATTCATAACTTCACATGTATTATTAAATAATTATAATAAAAAATAACCTCACAGCCTGTTTTCAGTGGAAGAAAAGGAACTGCATTTGAACTGACCCTCATTTTCTTTTTAACTGAAGTTGAATAGATTTTAAGGATTTTTTCAAATGACTGGATTATTCACATTTCTGTAAGAAGGCAGTCATCTACATGTATGGTTGATCTTACCTTTGCTGTAATAGTTGGTTCTCTTTCTCTTTTAGTGCTTTTTTAAATTCTGTTGTTCTTGATGGTCTGTGCAGATATTTCCTTTTTCCTGTACATTCATAAGTCCAATGTCCAAATTCTAAACACTTCTGGCATCTCACATGTTGCTTGTTTGCCTCCCTATGGAAATATAGAAATATTTCAAATCAGACATTTACATTAAAAGTGAGATATTAACCACAGCCAACACTAATACACTAGAAACAAGATGCCAGTTTCAGAATACCAATTACACCCATGTATGTCATTTGCTCATGTCCTTGCTATGATTGTTCAAATCTGCAATATTAAACCATATTCCCATGTCACTACATCTCTGTACTGGTCTAAGAGCTTTCACAAGCAGCCAAGCCCTATAAAATAATTGATATTACTAAGTTAATAGGCGTTGTTGTGTGCTTTACAGTTGTTTCAGAGTTTTGACAAGCCTAACGCAAACCTATGATGTGGTTTTCTCAGCAAGACTGGTGCAAAAGAAATTTGCCATTTTTTTCCTTTTGGAAATCTTAAAGATTGTACAATTAAGTATCCAGAGAAAGCAGGAAGGTATCACCCGTAACACCTCTTCCTGAAACAGCTTATTACCTTCCACTGATAAAGACCAAGGCTCAATATGTGAAAAGTAGAGGAAAAGGAAACACTTGATGAGGGATGGCAACTGGAAGAAAGAGGTGAAACAAAAGTGCTTTGAGTACTTTGATTGTGCTCTCCTTTGTGGCAGGGAGTTGGAATGGATGGCCCTTGTGGTCTCTTCCAACTCTATGATTCTGTGAACAGCAAGAGGGAAGCAACAGCTGAGGAACAGAGAAGCCAAGATGAGAACAATGTGACAGCCCAGTCAAATGGACTCGTCTTCCACTGGAGGAAGGGAACTTTTCACCAATTCCCCCAGCAGGCCTCAACTGTCATCTGCTTTGTCAGGTCCACAACTTTCCAGAGACGATTTTCTCAAGGTAAAACGAATAAATCAGCAAAATTGCCTCTATGTTCTTTCCACAAGAACCATCTCATACAATATAGCTAAGAGGGTGTCCTTTGATAACTCTGAAGGGTAGTGCTCTGACTGTAGTGTAGGTTAAATGCACAGGTGAACCTAATTTTTATTTCCAGTCCAAACTATCATATATAAAATACTTTAAAATGATCTACTTAAATTGTTCTCCCAATCTTGCCCTGCATCCTGAATGCAGCCCTCAAATGGGCCCAGGCACATTGTGGTCCACTGACATTTAACTGTGCTGCAGTCTTTAAAAGTACTTTAAAACATTTTAAAAGACACAGTGTTTTTCATATTAAAAATTAGGCTCAAGTTGGAAAGAGTGAAAACTCTGCTCTTTCCTCTTCACTCATGTTTCTGGATGAACTTGATACTGTCTCAAATAAAGCTCTGCTAAAATGCTAAATTTTTTTCTTATGAGCAAATCTTCTCCAGACAATAGAGCGAGTTACAACTGGAGATATGCAATGAAATGTTCCAATGGTCCCACTTGCAAGGCTATCAGAGAACTGGCATCAATGAGAGATATTTCTCTGCTCTTCCTCAGAGCTGAATGGGAGAAACCTTCTACTGTCACACAACACAAAGACTCTTCTGATATCTCTACCTGTCAACTTATTGGAAAGAGGGATACCAAATACAGGTCTGAAGTAGATGCTGATGATGGGATTGGAAAGTATTCTAAAGAAAATTAATTCAGTCTCCTTCCACTGCACAACTCCATGAGTGATATTTAACTGTACAGTAAAAATTTAAACATGTGTTTCAAAACCTACAACAAAGGAAAATTCACCACTTTCTATTCAGCCCATTCAGTCCATTCTACTGCTAAATGGCTTCTATTGTCAGGAGATTCTTCCAAATATTCAATAAGAACTTATTTTAATTTGTACTTCTATAATTTGTACCCATTCATTTTACTGAACTTGGCAGCGGGCATTACATCATTACTCACCTGTCCCTTCTGGTCCTTTTTTCTACTCTTAACACTTAAGATCTGGTCTCAAAGAAAATAGAGTTTAAGTGCTGAGGGTCCATGCATCTTTCAAGAGATACTCTAGGTTCCCATCAAAATGCCCCATAAGTGTATGTGGGGGGGGGGGGGACCCAAAGCTTGCTGGATGTTAGAGAATGGACATTCTTGAGGGAATACAATAATAATTATAATGAAAATTCTTTTTTAAAATCATCCCTTAATTTGTGAGGGGACTGAGGGGCTTTAAATGGCCTTAGGGACTCCAAAGAACCCACTGGCACACTTTCCCCACTCTGCCTAAGGGAGATAATCTCTTCTTCTGACACTAGAGCTACATTTAGCCCCTCTACTCTTTTGGCAACTACACTTTGTTGCTTTTTAAAATCACACAAAATTTTCCTTTTTCCTAAAATAAAGAACCTTGGAACCCGCCAGCTAGTCTTTTTTTCTTTATTCAAAATATGACAAAAATGTGCCGTTTTCAGCTGCACGGCTTCAAAAACACATTCTTTCAACACTATTTCTCTTATCTTCTTGCTCCCCTTATAATATACTTCTTCTAGAATTCATTATTGCTTCAAGATTAATACTCCCTGACACCTGTCTTACCTATTTTTCTTCTTCCCCCCGCCCCTCCAATGGTTTTTATAACTATCAACTAGCTGGTTTCTCCTTTTCGATTTTTCGCAGTTTGCTACATGGCCTGCCGCCGCCAATCTTTTCCTTCTTCCTTTTGCTCTCTCTGGTTTTTGATCAGTTGAGACTCTTGCGTTTATTTCAATCAAACAAATATGCAAAAAGGAGTCAGACTAGACCTCAACTCTTCTTAAGCAAACACAGAATCTCACCTGCAGTCTTCCTCAGAAAACTCAATGGCCTATTTTTTTTTTATTCCTCTCGCAATCAGAAGACATAGCCAACACAAAGTGCACAGTCTGCAGCAAAATCAACTGAGAGGCTGGCCAAATTTCCATATCTATAAGACTGACAGTTGTACAGTCATCCCTATTACAGTTTTGATTATTTCACACTTGCAGGTTTGATTATTCACAAGTTTGAAACACTGCTTTCCAAAGTTGGAGCTATTATGTGAACATCCCAAGATAACAGACCAATCCTCAGGAGGTGTGCAAAAGGACTGTTCGGATGGTGGCCATGCCACATCTTTGTTTTGTCTGGTACTTCTCTTCCTTTGCTTGGTTTAACAGAAACTCACCGGAGGAAGAGGAGGAGCTGGCTCAACACTTCACTTACCCCACGGATTCAGTTCCTCTTCCTGTGTTCTATGAATGTCTGTTTCCCTGGGCAAAAGAAGCTAGGTATTGGAGGGCGGGGGAACACATAGCATACAGGAAGAGGAAAGGAAGGCAAACTAGATCTACTGGGCATATTATGTTGGGAGGGGGTCCCTTTCGGTTTTTGTTCATTTCTGTATCTCCCTTCTATTGCCCAGGAAAAAAGAGGCCCAAGGCACGCAGGAAGAGGAAAAAGAATCAGGATCCACAGCATTGCATGAAGTGGCACGTTGCCAACTCTTCCTCATCTTTCATGTGGGACCCTATCAAATATCCTACACGTACCAGGGACGGTAGCAGAAGCACCTCATTCCTTCCTGGAGATATCTGCCATTTTCCCCCTTTTATGGGATAGTTACATACCCCATACAGCAGAGTGAGGACTGCTTAATATCTGGAGAACCTCTACCGCTTTGACTAGTGGTTATAATTTCATGTTTGAAACACATGTTAAGACTATGGAACAGTCTTAACAGCAATAATATTCAAAAGGTGTAATAACCATGGTTGGAATAATTGAATTTTTAAATATCTAAGAATCAAAGACAGGTAATTTTTTAGGACCATCCCATTTCTGTATTCTATACATCTCACTGTGTGAGGCCAGTGTCAATACTTGAAAGATTTCCAGTTTTCTAACATGATAAGCATTAGTAACATTACGTTGAATTTATAGCTATGCTTAATTTTGTCGTATATACTGAAAGGTGTAGTACAATTATCCTAAGATGTTCTTACCCACAATCCTCACTGACCTAATCAAAATTTTGTCAAGTGGGGGATCCACAAACCAGTTGGCTTTCTATTTTTTTCAACATTTTTATTGAAAGATCTTAGTACAAAACATCAAGAATGACAGGTTGCAGACAGACAAGGTAAATTAATATCACAAATGTACTTTTAAGATTATGTCATGTCCAAATGGTTAAAAGTATCTTTAAGTGTTCTATCAAGAGCTGCTGACTAGTCATAACTTTTACTTGCATTTCTGGAATCAGGACTCTTTTAGATCTTCCTCACCCTGTTCCTTTATAGGAGCATGACTCCATCATAGAATAGTCTAAGTGGGCCACTACTCTCTGCAATGACTGCATCAAGGTAAAAAAAGAATGCTTTTAAATGCCTTTTTTCACAATCACACATTTCATACCTTCGTGCTCTTTAGAGTTTATTGCTGCAGTTCAAATGAATTTGACAGGCTCTCAATAACAAAAATGGGTGGAAGAGGTACAGAGGACAGAAATTGCACTGCAATTACTCTCCTAGATTTAACCAGTCTTTGATCACACTACTGAAATTCATTTGACATTTTATCATTTAAGTCAGAAGTTACAGAACTGTAACCTTTGCCTCCCTTAAAACAAAGCTAGCATACATTTAAGGACTCTTGTCTAATTAGTCTCTAAATTCATTTATCTGTTCAACAGGTTACACCTTTATAACTTTTTAGTTTAGAATTGCTTTAAAAATAAATAACATGACAAAAGCTTAAATAACATTTATTTACTATTATAAAACCAGAATACAGAAATGTTTAAAAGAAAGAGAGACCACAATCAGGTTTATTTTCAGAATCACTAATATCCCATTAATTACTAGTGCATTTATTTTTATGCCTGTAACTCTGAGTAACTAATCAACATGACTAAATTATTGGACTAGCAAATGTTTAAAGGGCAGTGAGTATCTCATTACAAAAAGGAAAAGCTCATCAAAAGCAAAAGCATTCTGAAAATTAAGATTTAGTACGTTTTCTGACATAAAACAACTTTGTGGTACGGCTTGGATTGTTCCTAGAATGCACACAGTGTCCTTTTGGTTAAAGCCAAGTCAGAAGTCTGGGCTGCAGTCC